TATCTCTCATAGCCCAATACATGGGGTTATATCCATGTCCATTATCTCTCATACCCCAATACATGGGGTTATATCCATTCCATTATCTCTCATAGCCCAATACATGGGGTTATATCCATTCCATTATCTCTCATAGCCCAATACATGGGGTTATATCCATGTCCATTATCTCTCATAGCCCAATACATGGGGTTATATCCATTATCTCTCATAGCCCCCAATACATGGGGTTATATCCATTATCTCTCATAGCCCAATACATGGGGTTATATCTATTATCGCTCATAGCCCAATACATGGGGTTATATCCATTATCTCTCATAGCCCCCAATACATGGGGTTATATCCATTATCTCTCATAGCCCAATACATGGGGTTATATCCATTCCATTATCTCTCATAGCCCAATACATGGGGTTATATCTCTCGGTAGATTTATCTGTATCATATATACACTACTTACATACAGAATGTTTTTGGCCTTGGAATTTCAGAGAACCTGTTTGAAAGGCGAACAATATGTTATCACGGTACGGTATCTGTAATAATACAAACTCTTTATCTAATATAGATCGCCATTTAATCAAAACGATTTTCCATATGTTTACATCCCATAAACAAGATCAGATTCTAACATTTAAACACAACATTATGATGACTGATGTACAAGGGGTAGTGCATGCTTATTTTTATTCTAGAACATCATGTACCATCCCATGCCTCCAGTTAGTATAGCTATAGCATTATGATGACTGGTGTACAAGGGGTAGTGCATGCTTATTTTCATTCTAGAACATCATGTACCATCCCATACCTCTCGTTAGTATAGCTAGCATTATGATGACTGATGTACAAGGGGTAGTGCATGCTTATTTTCATTCTAGAACATCATGTACCATCCCATGCCTCCAGTTAGTATAGCTATAGCATTATGATGACTGATGTACAAGGGGTAGTGCATGCTTATTTTCATTCTAGAACATCATGTACCATCCCATACCTCTCGTTAGTATAGCTAGCATTATGATGACTGATGTACATGGGGTAGTGCATGCTTATTTTTATTCTAGAACATCATGTACCATCCCATGCCTCCAGTTAGTATAGCTATAGCATGATGATGACTGATGTACAAGGGGTAGTGCATGCTTATTTTTATTCTAGAACATCATGTACCATCCCATACCTCTCGTTAGTATAGCTAGCATTATGGTGACTGCCGTACATGGGTAGTGCATGCTTGATTTATTCTAGAACATCATGTACCATCCCGTGCCTCCAGTTAGTATAGCTTGTACTATTGTCTTTCGTGTGAAAGTACTGTGACTATCGTCGTAATACATCTCGAAATAAAATATTACAAAATGTTCTTAAGTGAAGATACGCTTAGATTAATGGAATGATAAAGTTTCTAATTTTAGTAATTTCCCAGGTGAATAGAAATAGGGATAGCGTTCTAATAATATTATATTACGTTTTATCATTTGGAAGATATGATTTAACTATAGGTGGCAAAGTGTTGGAAACCATGGTTCGCTAACCAGTAAGTGGTGCGCACGTAAAAGATCCCTTGACGGTTGGAATTCAATATAAGAGTAGGCCGTAGCGCCACTGTCGGGAACAATTTCCCTCATAGCACACTGTACGGCGTATCTCCGTCTTCATTATCCCAGTTCGGAGCAGAACAGTAGGACGTTAAACCCCATTTCATTTCATTACCAATCTAAATGTAGGTAAGTGAAATGAAATGGGGTTTGACGTCCTGTTTGTTCAACATCGACTGGGTTGATCGTCGGTACGACAACGACGTTTGCTTCTAACAATACATATAATAAAATTTTCTCCTAATCCCGAGGGGGGGTCGCGTGGCTAAGTGGGTAAGACGCTGGCTCGCTAGCCTAGAGGTTGGGTGTTCGATCCCTGCATTGGCCGAGAAAGTGCATCCAGATTTTCCGGCGTGGTTCTCCCTTGTCAGTGATGCAGGACTGAGGGGCTGACAAGGAAAGCTGTCTAGTCGTTCGGATTGGACGAAAAACCGAGGTCCCGTGTACACATCGGCGCGCACGTAAAATATCCCTTGGCAGTTGGAATTCGATATAAGAGTAGGCCGTAGTGCCGCTGTCCGGGCAAAATTTCCCTCATAGCACACTGTATGGTGTATGTCCGTCTTCATTAGCCCAGGTTAGGAGCAGAACAGTTAAACCCCATTTCATTTCATTTTCAAATCCTGAGTAAAGTAGGTAACAATAATGGCGGTTTATTTAATTTTCCCAACTAAGATTATTGGTATTTATTTTATAAAAGAACAATTCATGAAGTAAACCGGTTGTTCATCTACATGCGATTGTCCGTCTTCATTAGCCCAGTATAGGAGCAGAACAGTAGAACGTTAAACCCCATTTCATTTCATTTCATTTACATGCGATTGTAATATGCTTAATGTCTATAAACACTTCCTGTTTCGCATTTAGAGGGGTGTTATTGTCCAATAGACATATCCTGAGATTTTACATTAGAATCCAGGACATGTATATTGCACAATAACACACCTCTAAATGGGAAACCGGAAGTGTTTATCTCCTAAACAATAGAAGTCTATTTAAATTTCCCAATTAAGATTCTTTGATGGTTTGTATTTTATAAATAGACACTTGAATTCACACTTTTAATTTGAAATTTTCACGAAGATAACCCGTTTTAAATCTACCTGCGAACGACATCCGTCTTTATGTGTAATTATGGTGATTTACGTTTGTGTATGAAAGATAAGCCCAGTATTAAAATCTTTATGCGTCATTTTCTGGAATATCATCAAATTATCCACTGTAGTTAATCTCCTAGATTTGGTTTAATTGGATTTAAAAGAGATCTATCAATTGAGATTAGCGACGACAACCTAATTAAAATACAGATCTATATTTCGTTTCGTTTTTATACTTCCGATGGCCTAAACTCCATGAAGAGATGACTGGTTGTAGTGGAAGGTCGCGTCAGGGGTCGTACGAGCGGTTTTTGACTCTATGGTGTTACCCATTTTATTAACCAATCAGCGTTGATGTTTCTAGCCAAAAACCCACCGTAACAGACGGTTTCATTGGCTAATCCCTCTCATCAACCAGAACGTGGGTTATATAACAACTCTCCCAGATCCTAGTGTAGTAAAGAAAAGTAAAACAAAATTTTTAACTATAAAAAACGAAACAACATAAGATCTGTATTTAAATCAGATTGTAAGTAGCTCTAGTTTTTTTTAAACAAATTTGTTGACAAATTTTCAACACTAAATATTTGTTTAAATATTGAACAGAAGGAAACCAATTTAAACTGATTATTTCCCTAGACTTTGGGAGCCACGGTGGCTAAGTGTGTAAGACGCTAGTCTGAAGGTCCTGTGTTCGATCTCTGTGTTGGCCGAGAAACTTCATCGGGATTTCCCGGCATGGTTTCCTCTCTGTTAGTGGTGCAGAACGCAGGGCCTGACAAGAACAGCTGTCTAGTCGTTCGGATGGTATGAAAAAACGTGTACACATTGGCGTGCATGTAAAAGATCCCTTAGCAGTTGTAATTCGATATAAGAGTAGGTCGTAGCGCCGCTGCCAGTGCAAAATGTTCTTTATATCATAATGCATGACATAAACCCGTCTTCATTACTCCTACCGGAGCACGGGTGGGGGGTGGATGGCTGAATGGTTAGCGTGCGCGCGCTGTATCATAAAGTCTGTCATTGAGTCGACTGGCGTGGTTTCGAATCCCCGGTTGTACGTGGCAAGGAGTAGGGTCGCCTGTCCAACCTCGTGGGTTTTCTCCGGGTCCTCCGGTTTCCTCCCACTGCTAAAGACCCCTACGCGCAAGCGAATTATGTAAATAAAATTAAACCATATGTTAGTCCCGAAATGACCTAGTTTGTGTCGAGTGGACGTTAAACCCCATTTCTCTCTCTCTCTCCCATCGGAGCACATTTCATCTCATTCTCTTTTAACAATGAAATAAAGGTGAGATACAACTTTCAAATACATCAAATTCAGTTTGATCAACTAACCCAGTTGTTGAGTACCAATATTCAAAATAAGGATACCAGACTTTAACTTAAAAAAACCCAAACATTTATAAACTCTACTTCTTGTTTGATCAGATTTCACGGCGCTAACAAATTGGTCATATTCTTGTATATGGTATATGCGAGGTTAACGTTATTCACGACGGGGAACTTGTTTTACAAGATCGACAACAACAAAGACGAGCTGCGAGACAAAGACAAGTTTCGAGACGATGAAAGCTGGTTTTAAAGATTGCCGATATTTAAAACTCCCAGGAGGTTATGTTAATTTATTAGCCTAGTTGAAAAATATCGAATTATTAAAAATTTAAACATCGGTTACGTTAATGTAATTATAAACATAAGTTTCACAACAAAAATTTTAAACACAGGTGACGTTAATGCAATTATTATTAGCTTCGAAACGGAAATTTTAAACATCGGTTATTTTAATGCAATTATTATAAGCAAACGGAAATTTTAAACACCGGTTACGTTAATGCAATTATTATAAGCAAACGGAAATTTTAAAAGATCTCTGATATTTAACCCTCCCAGGAAAAATTAATTTTAAAATATCGAACTATAAAATAAGTTTATCGAAATCGAACTATAAAACAAGTTTATCGAACTATAAGTTTACCTTAATGGAAATACACAAATCTTAATAATATTCTGTAGTTAAAGTTGCAAGACTTGTTGTTTTATGTAGATATCGCTGGCGTCAATAAAATAAAATTGTTGATGTATAGTAGTCAAACTATCAGCGGGTTATACAATTCTTAATAACAGTCTCTAGTTAAAAGTTTTATATTAAGATATCGCCGTCAATAAAATAAAAAAGTTCGTGTAATGCCATTAAGAAACGCTTACCTTAATGCTAAATATCGTAATAATATTTTCTAGTTATCAACACTGTTTGTTTTTTTGTATATATGGCTGTCGATAATACAAACTATCTTACCTTAATGCAGTTATAAATGTCCTACTAATAAGTTTTAAACACTTGTTTTAAGTAAGGATCAATATGAAAGTATAGTCAGCTGGCAGCAGGCAGCAGGCAGCATGTCGAACCGTGCATTATATACCGTCTGTTATAGATTCATCACTACACCAACTCCACTAGTCATATACCATATTTCATACATGGCAACTGGTCGTTACCAACACGCGTGCTCAGATTCTATATAATACCCACAAGTTATCTCCTCTCCTCCTTCATCTCGTTCTCTCCAAGATATTGGAAATTTCAAAACACATAATATTTTAATTGTTATGTAAATATATTACCCCACGATTGTAGTCGTCATCACGATATGTATGATAAAATAAACTTTTACACCAGCTGGTTAAATACAATCATGCCACCATTACGACATGACGTTCCCCGGCTATAGAACGTGACAAACCTTCTATCAACTCCTTTATTGTTTGAATCACTAACAAGACTGTCCCTGGTTCAGAGAGAGAGAGAGGGGGAAGAGATAGAGAGAGAGAGAGAGAGAATTAACGTCCACTCGAAACACACTAGGTCATTTCGGGACTATCATATGATTTGATTGTATTTCAATGATTCGCTTGTGCGTAGTTGTCTTTCGCAGTGAGAGAAAACCGGAGGACCGGCAGAAAAACTTCGCGGTTGAACAGGCGACCCTACTCCTTGTCACGTACAAACTGGGATTCGAAACCTTGCCATTTGACTCAATGACAGACCTTGTGATTTCACACGCACGCGTTGAACTGAAAGAAATTAAGCACAAGGAAAATAAACAAGTAATCCCTGCATCCACCCAGACTCATTTTAAACAAATTACTTAACTCAAAAGTACTCAAACCTAATCAACTTTTCCGTATTAAAGTTTTATTACATAGAAATAAATTCAGTAATTGTATATCCATACAAATTCCATCATGTGTTAAAGGCTCAATACCACTCTTGTTGTAACTGAACAATATGTCCCAATCCTTATTCTGGTCAACAAATTGTACTATTTTACAATATTCCAATTAATTGATGATACAAATTTCATCTTAACACACCTAATTTAAAAAATTGGAAAAATTCAACTAAATGATTTGAAAAGCCTAACGTAAACCTTTTCAAATGTGACTTGGATTTTAAAATATTTTCGAACCCTCTGGACAAGTAAAATAGGATGTAATGGATAATTTACACAACAGGTAGGACACGTAAACATCTAGTACTTAGAATAAGGCTTTTTTTTTATTTTCTGGAGCTGTCAAGCCAGCAAGAGTGTTATTGTCCCTTTAACCGAGATGGGGTTCAAAAACTAGAAACATTCCATTTTAATATATTAGTTGAAACGTAATCCATTTCAAATTAAACTTTAGCTGAAATAAATCAGATTTTCAGACAACGCAAATTAATTTTTCAATTCAAAAAAAAAAAAAATAATAATAATAGATAAATACAATACGATGAAAATTAAAAGCTGACAGTATTGCTAGTCGAGTTTGATTAAATGAAATCCGAGATGTTAAATAATGATTTTACAAACCTTGGTGTCCTATATACAGCGTTATAACAACAAACTGTTGAGTTGTATAATATACAATATACGAACCTAAAGCGTCTGACTGTTTCTACTAGTTAATCCACAAGCCTTTCACACGGCATTGAACCACAGAATTGATGTTGTTCAACACGCGTTGTGGTTTTTATCTCAGATATAGCGAATAAGAGAAGGGGTAAATATCGTCTGTCAAACTGTTACCTATTAGTTAACTCACTTACACAGCGGTTCAAATATTTCTTTCATGCATTCTCGAGTGAGAATTTACTTTGGTCCCAGTGAGACTACTATGTGATAATTTTGTTTACGGTTACGTCGGCCATGCTAGATTGAGATTGTTCTATAGAAATAAAAATTACCATATCTTAATCTCAAAATAGAGTGACAATATGACAAAACAAACTCCATTTATTTTTTCTTAAACAGTAACAACTCGTTTCTTCAACAACAAAAAGAAATGGTCAATGAAATTGTGTTTAACATCCCACGTTTCCGCACCGACAGTCTTAAGGAAGAAGGACAATCTGCACACAGCCAACTATCTGCTCCGAGAATAGATCACGGCTCTGAGTGGCCGCCATATCCAAAAATGAATATACTAGTTTGTAATGTGGTTCCGTTTCACCTCTGTGATACACACGGGGGCTAATTAAACCTTTTTAATTATTTTGCTAAAACATGGAATAAATACTTCTCAAAATACTCGAAGAATCCAGGCCCCGAGTTCACAAAGGATTCTCAGACTTAAGTTGAGAATTTGCTCAACTTTCAATTACTGTTTATGAGAAATATCTTTGATGCAAAAACACAAAACTTTTCACATAGTTTTTTATTGATATATCTGATACATTCAAGCAACAAAATTATTATAAAGGGCTATATTTTAGTTAAAATAAGGCGAATAAGTTTGAGTAAATTCTCAACTTAAGTCTGAGAATGCTTTGTGAACACGGGCCCAGTTCATGGGGTTCTCGACTAAAAACGTCGATTTGGTACTTCAAAATGTTGGTCAGCTAGCTTAGTGTCTGTTTTCTCAAGCGACACCCATTATAAACAGACATAATTGGTTTAGTATGGAAGAAAGGCACACGCCACATAGTTTGTTCTGATAGAAATTGTTCACAGGCAGCAGTGTTTCAACTGTCAAGGGTTCTTCAACGTGCACGCAAGCCTTTACACGAGTCCATGTTTTTTCGTCACGTCCGAACGAATAGGGCAAATCACATTGGAAAGCTGTCAAAGCAAACACCGGGATAAAAAAAAGGTGGCGGAATTATATATATATTTAATGATTACAAAGATTTTCAAATTACAAAGAAATATTTTCACCCACAAGACAACACTCTTTAGCTCTAACTTTCTGGCTTATCGCCTTATCTAAATTACAGAATTATTCATACGTTAATTCGACCCAGATTTATAAATAAACAGATAAATACTATACAGTATTGGAGAATGCAAATCCATGGTCAGTAAGTTTCCAGTTAGCACACAACCGTGCTAAATCCTTATTTATTAACAAATCTTAATTACTAGTCCAATCAGTTGTTGATTTATTGTTTATAGTATTACTGACCGTTTTATCTCGTCTGATGTATTGTCCGACTTATCTCGTCGGCTGTTTTATTGTCCGACTTATCTCATCAGATGCATTATTGTCCGACTTGTCTCGTCAGATGCGTCACTTGCGTGTGTTCGGCACCGTAGAAGATCGCAGACAGGCCGTAGAGAGTTTGGGCTTGCACATACAAAATGTTCACCCTGATTCTTGCGGCTGGTATGCGAGCTACCAGACCCTACGACTCGTGCGTGTCAAAACAAGTACGACGGGTTGTAAGCTAGGCGTAACCAGGCGACACCTATTTCTACCCCGGTGCTGACCGAGAAAATTTTTTTATGGGATAAAGAACCGAGGTCACGTGCACGGGTACGAGGTAACGCCTCTACCCTGGCAAGGATTTTACGGATAGCACACAACAGGGTGTATGCCCGTATTGATTAACCCTACTGGTGCCGTAAAATAGGACGCTTAACCACACCAGCTGTTATAGAAGATATGGTTTATCTCTTCACGACTACTGCATGCCATTGAGGTGTTTCCTGCCACAATTTCACTTTCTTCTAGGGAATCATTCAATTGAGGATTCATTCTTAGTTTATTGTAAATTATAAACCCGTAACGGTAAATCTCTTTGATATTTGAGGTATATTCTATGCCCGGAATAACTTGCGGTCTGAAAGTCGGGGGAGGTTTTGGATATATACAGGTAAATTTGGGGTTATTCTTCTGAAAGTTTTTCTTTAAACCTGTAACAGGTTATTCTTCCAGGGTAGGGTTTTTTCCCATAAAAAAACATGATATAAGGTTTTTTGCAGGAATTCTGGGATATTCTCATCTTGCGTACATGTAAACACATTCTGAACATCTGAGACACGCTACATGATATCCATATCACGTGATCGACACATCACAGGTCATGAGGTCAACATTGTAAACAATAGGTTTATCTTCAGCATTGTGTCCGTTGCACCCATAAAGACTATATAATTTGTACAGTCCCAACATGTTCCCTCTTCTTCCAATGATTTTTCACAAAAATAATATCTACAACTCATAGAATTGACGTTGTCTTCAATGACAGCGTCTGCGAGGGTTGTTCATAGAGGCCGCCATATTGCACTATTTTGTGCGTCGGTCGGGTCTATTTCGGATATACACAATCAATTCTGTTGATGTTTTTAGCGTTGGGATTGACTAATAGTTAATGTGTTTCAGTTCTAAAACAAATATTTTAAACTTTAACGCAAATTTAGAAAATAGCCAAATTCTGGCTGGGATTACTGAGCAAAATGGCCATTCACTGTATACGTGCGAAAAAAAAGCTAGCCCCCAATTAATTTTTATACGTTAGTTACGTACGATGTAAACATAGACGGTTTATAAGCAAGATAAAGTCCTCGACTTCGGTTATGCTGAGGAAGAAAGACTTCAAAAAAAAAACCTCGACAGAAAAACCTCGGCCTACCGGCCTCGGTTTTTCTTTTTCTCGGGTTATTTTCTTCAGTCTTTCTTTCCCCAGCATAACCTCAGTCTCGTGCTTTATCCTACACGTGATCTGGTCCTTTACTGTTTTTACTGTTCGACTCCCATGTGTTGCAGTATGGCTTCCCTTTGTCAGTGGTGCAGGGCGGACGGCCTGACAAGGACAGCTGTCTAGTCGTTCGGATGGGACGAAAACCCGAGGTCCAGTGTACACATTGGCGTGCACGTAAAAGATCCATTGACAGTTGGATTCGATATAAGAGTAGGCCGTAGCGCCGCTGTCCGGGCGTGTGGCCGACTTAATTATCCCGGTCGGAGCAGAACAGTAGGACGTTAAACCCCATTTCATTTCATTTTCCCTATGGGTTGCTGTTCGCCTCGTACTGGTAGCATCGTAAGTGGTGTAATCGTCACCTCCTCTCCTTCCTTTCGTCCATGAAGCTCACTGTATATCATGGAGTTTTTTTTTATACGTGTTCTGTATATTCATGGGACAAGACA